TTGTATAACTATAATGTTAACTATAGTTTATTTAAGACTATATTATTGAATAAGAACTTTTGTCTAAATTTGAACGAATAGTTTTACAATATTTGGTCACCGTATTCATGTGAGATATTAAAGGGGAAAAATGTATATGTAAAATCTCAGCGAAAGAATTTAAACTCAATTCAATGTTTCACTTATATTATTAGTTCATTTTAAATATACATTTTCTTTACTTAATTTTGTTTTTGTTTTAATTTTTACATTCAGAAATAATTGTAATAGTTTGAAATCGCTAATTATCGAATTATAATAATGAATAACCTTTGACTATTCATTTTTAATTTGGCTAAACATAGTTCAATGTGTTCAATTTTACCATGAATTTTGTTTTCTTTTTTACTTTGGTTATGAAATATCGCTTTATGCTGTTAATAATTAAAAGAGATTATGGATGAGATTATGTTTATTTTGTAAAGTGACTATATACTTGTCGTATGAATTTTTTATAAATTTTAAGGTTTACCGGCAGAAAAGTTATAAAAGCATAATATATTCAAAATGTTCACCTTATTATAAGTCAGTAAATAATAAACTTGACGGTTTCAGACATGAAATATACTGGGTTCTAATCTTACTGTAAACATTAACACTTGGATCCAGGTACATACAGTTGACGAGTCTTAAACAGGATGAAATGGACTTCCTAGATTATACTGTCACTTGTAATCCACCTATTGTTAAAACTTGAAACTCAATTTTAATATTGAGGCAGTCTACTTAGGATGTACATATGCTAAGACTGATCAAGTTCAATCTTGAATCGACAATGAGATTATTTAAACACTTAATACTAAGAATATCACAATAATATTTTGTGAAGGCACTTTTAGAAACATTAATTTAAAATTATCAGTATACTCTTGAGTTTTCAACATTTTATTGTTTTGTCATGATAACTTATTCCTTGAAAATGCTAATTATCTTACTGTTTTGGACTAATTACACTCACTAGTTTTTAGGTACCATAAATAGAAACGTGCGAAATACAATGAATCAAACGTATACTGTGAATATTGAAATTCTTATTTTGTTTCCACTTGTGAGTGAAACCAGTTGTTTGAAATTTCGTTTTGCTTAGATTTTACGTAAATTTTATACCAAAATTCAAGGATCCTATAAAGATTTTATAGTCTGATGATAATCTTTATCAAAAGTTTCTTATGATCTGAAGGACTTTTGGAAACCAGATAGGTCTAAAAAGCTAACAAATCTTAGTTTGAGACATCTCAATACAGCAATTTACAGGAATCTATACGAATTTAAGACTCAGGCCATTTCTCGTTTGAAATCACCAGCATGAGCTCCTAAGGAGACTAAATTTCAGTTAAATCAACCCTTTTGTGCTCCCTGATTTCAATGGTTCTGCAGCTGATTGCAGTTCGTTATGCACGTTTTCCTCGAACAGTAAATGTTCAGAATGATACTGAAAGAGAGTTTAACCTATTGAGTGAAAAATTTCTGCTGTCTGATGTCCATCGATTTCATGGCAGCTACTATGGAGGACAGATTATTTAAACAATAAACGAATTATGAAAATGCAATGCTCCTTATAATAATAACATAACATATTCTAAAAATAATAATTACAGAATTCATGCCAGTTCACATGCATAATAAGCTTGATATAGATAGTAATATGAAATGCATATAAATATAAGTGAAATATACCCTAATTTTTTGTGATTTACTACCGCTTGATTTTGACAAAGCTTTTTTCTGACCTTAACGAATATAAACTTTGAAAATTATATATTGATACCCTGCTATTATGGGATGTTTAATAGAAATTTTTATTTTACACGCTAAATACTTTTTATACACCATATAATATTGTTTATGGTTATGGTAGACATCAGTGCTTCCATTGCTACGACCACAGTTATAAAACATCAAGGGCCAGAATCACCATGAAATTATGGTAATCCATAAAATTATTTGCTGTTGGTTTGTAGTATATCAATAGATGCAGTTTTAAAGTAAGTAGGTACAGATGTTAAGTGGTATAATGGAAAGTCAGTGGTTTTGGCTCAACTCTATCCATTCCTTTGTTTAAATCTCGATGTAAATCATGTTCTTAATTCTACATTGTTTCTTTTACTTCTGTAGTTCTCATTATTTAATGTCTGTTATAAGTGAAACTAGGTTTTCTTACTTGATTTACGTCAGGTTATTTTCCTTCCTTACTTTCCTAGTGTGATGTGTAGCAATCTGACCCGGTACACAATTATTCCATGTCTTACATTGACTACGATTGACTCACAAACTGGTGGGTTTTAACGGATACCTTTTAGGAGGCATCTTTCTTTAGAATGTTGTATTTATGATATATTAAACGTAATGAGTAAATAACTACTTACAAATTAAAAATCATCACCGTTACACAAATGGCTATTTGTCTATCTGGACTCATTAGCTAGATGATGTTTGAACTGAATGGTAGTAGGTTGGTCAGCTGACTGGTGTCGGAAAATAATGACTAATAAATGCTGTTTCCACAAAAATGTCGATGTTATTTTCTCTTCAAGATATTATTGTCCCGTAAAATTCTTTTTTGTGAATTTTTAAATGATGATGGAAGATTTTTTTAATGTTAGTTTTCATATGTTCTAAACAATTTAACAAATCATTATTTATATAATCACTATTTTTCCCTTAATTTTTTCTATAAATAAAAGTTTACTTAAACGACGTTATGTATTTCGTTTTTACTTATTTTTGTTTAAACTAAATACGTCGTTGTAGTGTCGGTTTCTACGTTAAGCCCATATAACTTATTCTAGCACCATTCTTCTTGAGTCACGTTTTGACCTTGTTAATTATTCTCTTGTCGACCTTGACTGTATTTATATGAGTGTATTTGCATATACATCTCATCCTACCCATCACATGTCGATAGCTATTTTTGTGTGACTATAAATATTGATTAACGCTTGATTAAATCGAGTTGGTTCACATGCCTTCTTCATCGTGCATCATTTCCTCTAGCTTTATTCTTTTGATCGTCTGCCTAGATCAATGATTGTACAAAATATATGTATTCAAAATCCTATTTCGTATTTTACTTATTTTAATTCTATTATTTACAAACGTGAGTGAAGTCGATGATTTTATACCTGGATTAGGGGTATTTATATCTATATATATGAACTGGAGTCAGATCATGGGCTACATTGTGTTTTCAATAACATTCTTCATTTAAATGAAAGACAAATATGTCATGTTTAACATGGAAAAAAAAATCTGATAACTAATAAATTCATACTACGTTCACGTAGTATTGTAACATAATCTTGAAAGCATCATCTGACCTTAGTTAAATTTATCATAAAAATTCTCTTGAACTTAATTTAAATCTTTATAAAGCAGTCTAAAGTATTTTACATGAACTCAATGCCTAACAAGAAATACTTATTTATTAATAAATGTAACATAACAAATTAATTGATTTTCTAGGGAAAGTAACTTTCAATCTGTAATTATTCTTAATGTTCATTCAATTGAGATATTAATTCTTATTTTAGATAATGCTTTACTTAACTAAGTACACATTGAATTTAAAAAAAAGGTTATTATACAAGCAAATTACATCAGAATAACTGTCCACTGGGTAAAGATCTATTCTTTTTACATTCATAAACTGTCTGATAATGTAATAATGAGCATTGAATAAGATTACTAATTGATATGTATGAGAAGTGAAGACTATAGGTACTATAATTAGTGGATTGCCTTTGACTAAACAGAACAGTATTTAAACCTAATTATTTCTTGATAATATAATTTATCAACTTATCTTTTATTTGATGTATAACGTTTTTTTTCTTCAAATAGAATGTTTTACGCTTCATCATAATGTATAGATGGCAAAGTATTATGTAACATTTTATATCATAATGTTAAGCATCTTATGTTCTTCAATAGAATATGTTAATAATTGATTTCTCAATGTATTAGTTATCAAAATCAATACTTTAAATATTTTCATGATATGCATTTAGTTTCCACTTTTTCAGTTATTGAACATTTCAGTCGTTATTGATATATGGTTAACTTACGTTTATTATATAAGTTGAGCATTTGAACTGAATGTTTAGGAAAAATGATAGTTTTTAAATGTAGAAATAAATCAAAGATCTTGTCACGCAGTTAAATTACTAAGTAATTTTGTCTTATTACTAATACACATATATACTTTTGATAAATTTCGTTATAGATTCGAAAGGTTCTTGCTATAATTTTATCTAAATAAGTAAATAATCTATTTGATAAATAAAAGTTTATCATCAGAGAAGGGTTTTGTGAATATTTTAGTGATTTCAATGGTTGAGTTCATGATCGAGTTGAAGCTAGATCACCATGGAAAATAAAAGTTTAATATCTTCCCATTAATAAGTTTGTTTATTGGAAGCAGTCACATAAAGCGGTGAAGGTAATTTTATAAGTTTGTGGTGATTGATTAATGCTGCAATCAAGAAATTTTAGCACAAATGATCGGTAGGTATTATATCTTACACCATAAACAAAAATCAACTGATTATTGACAGATTTCAATGAATATGGATTTTATTTATTTGATTGGGTAAATAACGACAAAATTAAAAAACAAATAAATTTCACATAAAATTAAATTTACATTAGATTACACAATTGACTAGATATAAGCAGTCTAACATAAAATAACTACTATCCTACTGATTGAGTTTCTTATTCAAAAGTAAGGAATTATTATTAGATATCAGGGAGATGAAATTAGATCTGAAAATATAGTTCTATACAAAAGAAGGGAGAAAAAGTGTCTGTTTTTCTTGTACTAATAAACACTGTACAGCTATATGTGTATTGCACATGCACAGTGCATTGCAAATTCCATGCTAAAATTTTTTTTGTAGTTTCTTTTTTTTCTCATATTTTTCTACCAATTTGTAAATATATCTGTTTTGTTACTATTATAGGTATCTACAAAAACTAAACGTGTATTTATCGGTGGAGTTGCAACACAAACAACAAATGAAGAATTAAGTGAATACTTTAGTCAATTTGGAAAGGTAAGCAATTAATGCTCTGTTTGATTTCTGTCCCGATGACTTAATAATAACATAGAATGAAATAAAATCTAAACTCTTTCGAAAATAGCCAAGGGAGTAATATATAATAGTGAAATAAAAATCTCTGATCAGATACTAAAGTGAAGGCAGTGACTGGTTAAAATTGAATACTTAAATAAATATCTTATTGTTTTAGATTTAAATTCTAGTTGATTTCATGTATTTTTGAGTGTTAATCTCAGCAATTAAAGTACTTTACCTTTCCTATTGCATAAATGCGACCACAGTAGATTTATCATCGTTTGAGCTATCTTTTTTTCAGACACAAATTATGTACACCGTTCTAATAATTCTATTTATTGACATTTTAACCTATTCAATCTTTGATATTCTCGGAAATTGGTATAAATATGATACTTGTCGAATTCAATAACTGTTTATCAATAATGCTAAAGTGTTTCCATTCATGGTCATTTAATCAATCATCCAGTTATTCATCTGATAACTAATATGTTAACATAGATTTTTCGCTTCACTTGCAAGAAATTATTTATGACAAATTTCATCATATACTATTAAAAGATTACTTAACCTTAGCCAAAAATAATTAATAAACCATGAAAAAAACTGATCAGTCAATTAAAAAAAATAGTATCTAACCAATAAATTATTGCACAGGTCACATTATAGGCGTTATCATCAATACCTTGTATTATAACTTTAGCAGTTAAATACATGCAAAAGACAATTATATATATATATATATATATATATATATATATATATATCAAAACATTTGCCAAATGATAAATTGCTATCTACATCCCAAATTTATTTTTACTTATCGGTTTCGTTATTACAATCAAACTAGAAAATTAGTTTTCAAATGGAACTCAATGAAATGTCAATCGTAATATTAGTAATATTTTATTATCAGAAAGGGGTTTTTTGTAGATATTATAGTAATTTGCTAGTTAAGTTCATGAGTCAACTGAAGCTAGATCACCATAGAAAACCTGGATTAAAGTTAGACATTAACATCGTTGGATGCCGACTCAGTTGTCTAGAGGTTAAGTGTTTGCGAACGAGATTGGAGGGCTTGGGTTCGAATCCCGCGAGCGGGATCATGGATGCGCACAGTTGAGGAGTTCCACAATAGAATGAAACGGTCGTCCAGTGCTTCCAGGTTTTCAATGGTGCTTTAACACCAATCAGTTCATGATATTAATCAAAAATTATTAATTATTAAACCAGGAAATAATTTCAGAAACGATAGATCAACTTATCTTTCATGTTGTTTTATTGACTGACAGTACTTTCTTGATATTAGATAGTAAAACTACGATGCCTTCATATTTATGATGATCATCAAAGAATATAACATTTTAACAAAGTTAAATTTAGAATCAGTTTCCCATTTTCAAATATTTTATTACTGCTTATGTCAATTGTCTAATTGAATAAGTTGTTTAATAGGAATGATGATCTGAAGATTATCTCTATTTTAGTTACTTTGCTGAGTATTTAGAAAGATAAATAAGGTTTCTAATTAACTATCGATTACAAGTGATTAATTGCTGATTCAAATTACAAGGGTTTTTCGCAAGTTTCTCGCTTATCAACACTTTCAATACAGAGTATACAGTATTTGTATTTTGATACATAAGCATCAATTCTTTTGTGTTTGGTCCTTATTCGTTTAAAAGATAAACAAAACAGAAAACTTTACTAATCACTAAAGTGCTTCGGCTGAATGGCAGATTACAGCGCGTATGTAATAAATAGATAAAACGTAGGAACCAAGACGTCATTATGTGAAGAGTTAGGGAATGTGTTATGAAGAGAATCAAGTGAATCATGGATTATGGACTGGGCACCGTAAATGATGTCTATTCCATTGACAATGAGAAATTGACTGAATGACAAGGAAGAAATTCTATTTTGCTGGCCTCCATCATTACGCTAAATTAAGTGTCACTAAACACACGTAGTGTACAAGTATTATTTCATAAACCTTTTCCAAGCATAGCTTTAATTCAGTTTGTTCAAAACTTGATGTCTAATGTAAAGTAGTTAACGCATACTAGAAATTGATTCATAATGTTATGGGAAATCTATTATTGGTGTATTTAGAAGATTTGTTTTGCATGACAAACAAATCACTGCTTACTATTCTAATAGAGGAGAAAATCTTTTTTTAAAGAAACATGTACCAGAATAAGAACATATATCACTTAGGCAGACACAGTTTCCTGGTTGGGGTACATATTGTAATTGTCACCAGCTATTCATAAATTTGGTTGATTTTTGTCAAAGTTGTTAACATCAGCATAACTATGTTTACTATTTATCCTGATCTTTATTTTAAACATAGGTTACAAGAAAATACAATATGTATAATTGATCTCTTAAGCAACTTCCTGAACTGGTATTAATGTACAACGACATATTGATCTCTCTGTTACTCTCTCTTCCTCTCTTTCTCTTCTCGCTCTCTCTATCGTTTTCCTGTTATTTAGAATAGCATAATCGTAAACTCCTTGTTCGCTGTTATTTGGGCTTGTAATACGCTGTGTTAAAGTAATTAATGTTTTAACATAACTGTCACATAAGTGTACATAAGTATGTTAATCTCATATGTCTTCGTTTCATAGTAATTCACGAATTGACAGAAATAAATTATGCATTTTCATTAACTTGCATTTATTGAAATTGTACAGAATAGACATCTTTGGTGTAATTTAAGTGCTATTGATAATGTTAACAGTTGTTTTTTCTTTGCAATAAGATTTTAAAAACTGATGGAAAGGTTAAATCAGAAATGTAGATTGTGGTTTATCACATTTATATATAGTTTGACAGAAAGAAATGTTTCGCTGTCTCAAATAGATCTATTTGCTTAATATTATGGGAAAATATTATGATTATTTCTTTCTTTCAAATCAATCATTAACCCAGATAACACATAACTTTTACATCATATTACATATATAGGCTTACAATGTGTTAGATCTTTAAAGTCATTTCCTTTATTTATCTTCCGTTCATTTATATAATAAATATACTACTGGAAATAACAATTTCTTTAAATAAAATTATCAAGAATTGATCTTTTAAAAGTTTATCCTTCCATCTATCTGAATGAAGTGACTTTACTTGATGAGATCATACAGATTAATGACGTAAAATAATTTGCAGATTTTTCATTTAAGAAGTAGTTGTAACCCTGTAAACATGAATGTATTTAATATAATATAAATCATTATAAAATAGAGTATGATGTAACCATTTTACAGTCTAAAGTTGATCTTATATTGACCACTGAGTTATATGATTAATATGATTTTCTATTAACTGTATATAAAAGAAAAAAAATGATTATGAAAGATTTCTATCTTTTACTTATCATGTCAAAAATAAAAATAATAAAATTTAGTCAGAATAAAGACCAATAAATATGTTAATGGTTTCTGTCTACTGTCCTTGTAGTCTACTTAATCCCGTAATATACAGTCAGTTATTTAATGATAACAATTTTATCTATTTTGTTAAATTAAAAGGAAACCAAAAAAATGTTTTCTTAAGATTTAAATATATCTTAAACTATTTAGTTACAGTGTCTTGAATAAAATCACTTGAATTGAAAGATTCAATGTCTGAAACAGAGATAAAATCTTGAAGTAGATGAGTAAACAATATTAACTCAACCAAAAAATTACACTACCAATTAGGTTTAAATCTCATTCATTCATACATTAATGTTGTCTCTACATGTAAAGTTATTAAAAGGTATCATACTGATTTCTGTGTTGTTTTTTTTCTGCATCACTTAGACAATTGAATCATTGGGATTATATATACATGTGGTTAAAACAAATGAGGATAGAATGTAATCGGTTATTACTAGTTCTAATTATTATTATGATTATGACTAATATAGTTGAGAAACTGAATCACATACACGTAGGAGACGAATAAAAAACGTTAGCAAAATTATCTGTTACATTAATCTTTCTTTGTTCTTGATGAAGTTGATAAACAATGCTCGAATTATTACCGATACTATTACCGACAGCTTAATTTAAGTATGATGAAACATTGTACTTTACCTTACATAAAGGATTAGATTGGATAGTTTGCAGATAAAAGTGATTAGAATTTTATGAACTGCGTATAGAACAGAAAGGCTAAATGATAGAAATCCCTTGATATCAGGTATATATATATATATATATATATATATATATATATATATATCGAATTCATCATCATTGAGTACACAAGTTCACGCTTCAATTTATTTCTGCAAATCATTTGGGAATTTTCTCAAACACGGTTACACTATGTTTATATATTTATAATCATACATATATCTATGTTTACCACCCGCTGTGATTAATAATTAATTCTCAAAATTTATATAATAAGCAAGGAAGAATTCAATTTACTCTGTATATATTTTTATGTAGATATTTTTCTCTTAGTGTTTATGAAAATCATTCTTATTCTCATTTTCATTGTAATTTAATTGAATGTGAAATTGCTAATCAAAATATCAGAAGAAGGCTTGTTATGTTGATTGAGTTCAGTGTTTATAAACTTTATAATTATTAATGAATATTAAATTAGACCTAATTATAGGATATGATTCAATGGATTGCTTTGTTCATATATACTCTCAGTACTAATCATTATCATTGTACCATATAACTGTAAGGAGTCAATTGTTTTCCATAAAAAGCTAATATTGTTCATGATTTATCTCAGTAAAACTATAATGAACAAGCACAATAGAATTAAATACATACTCATATTATAGATTAAAGTGAATATATGACTACTTAATTGACTGTCTGCCTGTAAGAATAAATCTATTTGTAATTTCATATTCCCTACAAATTTTCTTTTCTTTTCTACCATTTTGAAAACGACCCATCGATGAGAGTATTGTGACATATGTGGCTCTCATCAAGAATCGGCATTCGATTATTCAAAAAAGAAGGCTGAATATCCATATAAAAAATAGTATCGTAACAATTATTATATGATAACTGATAGTATACTACTGAATTTTAATGAAAAATTATTCTTTTCAATAAGTTCAAAGAGTTTTTAACTAACTTTAATTGTTTCTTTTTCTTTGAGGCAGTGTTTATGTTACTCAACGGTCTTCTTTCATCAAACCTTTTTAATTGGTAAATCTTAATGTTCCCTTGAGAGAATGAACGTTATTTATTTTATTAAATTTTCATCTAATTTACGCATTATATATATGCGAAGATAATCTGCTTATTTTTACCAATGACTTGGCTGTAACAGATGAAAAGGGAAACATCGTGTTTTTTACTATTATGGATGGTTAGGACTATTTTTTCTCTAACATTTACCTAAAATCATGTCATTTGATGTGTCTTAATTTAATAATACTGATCTATGTTTTCGTGACAACTGATTCCTTATAAATTAATTTAATGTTAACTAATTAACACAAGAATTACGCCGTTAGATTTTCTACATCCTACTATTTATACGTCATATAGATAAATCAGTGTCAAACTAATGTTTGTCAGTTATTTTTTATTTCAGACAAATAACAGTAGTTCTATGTACTGGTCGACGAATTTTCAAAGGCTTGTAGATGCCTAATTTGGTTTTTTTTGATAATGGTATTTTTGTAAAGAGATCTTTAGTCCACTCATTGAGCCTCTTATTTCACTCATTTTAACTTTACTTAAACTTATCGCTTGAACACAGACATACGTACAAATGCTCTTAGTTTATTTTTCTACCTCGTTCTCTCTTTATCCTTCTACTTAACGTGTAATTTTTCATTGCTATGGAAACATAGACTATTCTATTTAGACTACAACACTTCGTACTAAAACAAGTAGCCATTTTATCTATACTGATTAAGAAGGGGATAAATTTGAATTTTTTTAAAAGAAAAAATGTTTTTTTCAACGTTTTATGATCACTTATATGGAAAATTACTTCATACTGTTTCAATTGATTGACTTTATTACATCATGAAAAATGGTCACTATGAAAGTTTTACACAGGTAGAAATTTTATCAACAATCAAATTTAAAGAAAATTGTGGCATATTAATAGAAATGTTAATTATTTTCCTAATAAATAATAAATAATTTCAATGGTTGAGATCATGAGTCAGTTGAAGCTAGACCACCATGGAAAACCTGGAAGCACTGGATGGGCGTTTCGTCCCATTGCGGGACTCCTCAGCAGTGTGTATCCACGATGTAGTCAGTCCATTTATGGACGTACACCTTACGCCATGTTTTTCATGATTATGTCTTATGAAAGTTGTTGAATAAGCAAATAAAATTTGTAAATTAATTTTTTATAATGACCAACACTTTAAGTTCACTAAGATAGATAGTTTTATGTTGTATTGCAAAAGTCTCAATATCCTACCACGTCATATGAATAAAATAAATAAAGTTAAACATTAACACGGTTGAATGTTGGTCCGATGGTCTACAAGTTAAGCGTTTTTACTCGAGACCGAAATTCGTGGGTTTGATTTTCACTTGAGTGGTCGTGGATGCACACTACTGTGAGGTCTCATACTAGGATCAAATGGCCCTTTAGTAATTCCACGTTTTCAATGATTGTTAAACGTTGATTGGTTCACGATTTCAATGAAAATTTAGAATGGTAAATTTTAGTGAAAGTTATCTGATTGATGAACACGTAGCTACCGAATTGTCATTGACGAGTATTTGCTGGAAAAACTGTGAGTTGAAAATCTAGTTCTTCCATCTTGACTACGTAAACTGACTGACCTTACATTCCGAGTTGATAAATGATTGTTTTAGATATGAACGTAAATTATCCACAGAACCTTTTTATATTCCACTTATCCTCACTATACCGAAATCTCATCAATTATTATTTTTAGGCAGTTTCTACATAACTGATATACAATTATAATGACTATCTATACAACAACTAGACAATTACACTCATATATTCCTTGAAGAATTTTATTTCAGTGATTATAGACTCATCAGATATAACAAAATTTGTTCATTATGAGATTCAATTACCTATCATTTACAGTCGATTCCACTGCTAGATACTGTCCATCTCTGTTTATAATGCTTTTGACTTAAGACAATATCAAGGCAATCTGCACAGGATGAACAAATGCTAATAAAACTGATCAATTGCAATCCTAAACATCGATTGAAAGATTCAAACGACCAATACAAAAATGCATTAAAAGCTACAACTGAAAATTAAAACACGTGTTGAACTCGTCTGTAACAAAGCGCAAATTAACACGATCTATAACTCATTGTAACAGATATATACATATATATATATATATTTAAATATATATATATATATATTATAACCATTAAGTGAATGTTAATAATTAGTTTAAAATGTCTTCAAATGTTCATTATATGTTTTCTTGCATTTTAGTGACTAATATACTTGAACTCCTTTACCCTAAAAGTAATCAGACCTAGAGATGTTTCGTATAAATACGGCTTTTTGTTTATCTGTCGTTAAACTATATGGTACTTATCAACATTTCTGTGTACTTAGTTACTAATCTCAAGTTAGACCATTATATGTACATTAATTCATATATAATTGAACTAAATCCGCTTTTTAATTTACTTAACAGATTACTTTGAAATGTTTCCTGTTTTGCAAATTCATTTGAAGTACTCCACTCATTTTTTAAAATTAACCATTCAGTTTTCAAAAAAAGTCAAGGAACATTTCTACTCGTCACTTCACTGAGTTCTTTATTTTCAGTTGCTTTTAAAGTGTTTCTATTTTTATTTTGCTAAACCATGGTGTTTTAATCAGACCCGATTATGTGTCATTTTTATTTTTTTCTAACAGCTAGAATCATGTGAATTAATGATGGACAAGTCAACTAATCGACATAGAGGTAAGTTAAAATTCAACTGCTAAACAAATATTTTACTAACTATACCTAGTTTAGTTGTCATGAGATACACTATTTAGTAATAGAGGTACACGGTCTCAGTCCGAATCACTTAATAGCATTCTTATCTAATCTACAGTTATTTTGAACGTGTACGTTACTGATAGTTGTTATATGTAATAAACTGAACACAGGCAGAGATATGAAACAATAAATACTTCCTTTATTCTCCAAATAAAACACGACTACTTGTAAACATAATGGTCTTGGTTTGTGAGTGTTCACCACTGTAAAATCCTAAACTAAAGTTCCATAGCCATTTTTTACTCGTTTGTTTTTAATATCTCTACAGTTAGAGTAAATTAGTGACATAAGCGTTCCGGCACAATAATGTAATAACAGGTTAGACAGTAATGAAATATATGGAGAACTCGTGAAAAGGTACAAAATCCCTTTTGTGACTCATGTCCATACAAAACCTTTCTTAAGTTTGTATATTGAAAATTCCCATTTTGATATACAGTAAAACGAACGAATAAAGTGAAGAAATTTCTTTTTAGTTAGTTTTTCATCATGGCTCTACACTAATATATATATGATTTACATTAGTGAAATAATTCTCATCGAGTAGTTACGTTGCGTAACAACTATATAATGTCGCATTGATGATAAAATAATATTGAGGAACTTGAAGAAAGAGAATGATAATAATCAGAGTAACTATTTAGAAATCAAACATTTGCCATATTGCATAATACATAACTGTTTATTTTCCAAATAGTTACTTTGATAATTATCATCCGCTTTCTTCAAGTTATTCAATATTATTTTATAATCAATGCGACATTATATAACTGTTACGCAACGCAACTACTTGATGAGAATTATTTCACAAATGTAAATCATATATATATATATATATATATATATATATATATTATTAGTGTAGAGCCATGATGAAAAGCTAACTGAAAAGAAATTTTATCGCTCTGTTCATTCTTTGCTTAGTGGTTATCCTCCATCGTCTGAGCTATAATAAAATGAAGTTGTTAATCGATCTTTAGTTCTGCTTTTGTCATAATATTTTAAATGTGACCTTCAAAAGTACACTAAATAATTGTCTAATGATCCTTGATCAAGTATAACACTTATATTAGATGAAATAAAAACTATGATATTGAATTGACATAAATTTTAACTTTGATATCAATAGAATTAATTAATAAATTGTCTCCTCTTGTGATCAATATAATCATGAAGATTATTTTTCGATAGAATTCTATATTATTCTAATGAACAAATAAAACTATAGTTTAAATATTTAAGTATTTGCACTTAGAAATCTTTGATCAATATTCTCAGTGGGAAGTATTATTTTTGCACTGGCCTAATTCATCAAATATCTATTGTAATCACATCGATATGTAAAGGACAAAGCTTAAGGTGCATTCATTTGTATATGTAATGCACTGTTAAGCTTCTATTTTTTTTAAACTTTTTAAAAAAAAAGATGTCTTTCTGTGTACTTATTAAGTTTTGTTCACAAAATATGTAAGTTTAACTAGAAGTAAACAACTTCAAATAACACGTTGACTAATTCAAAAGATAAATAGTACAAAAATAAACTTAAATTATTAGTGTCTTAGAAACTGATTATTCAAAGACATAATAGAAAATTTATAAATATTGAAGAAAAAAAATGTGATCCCAAAACAATCTTGTGATTAGATCGAAGAGAAGGAATGATTTTATTAATCTTATGTTCATTTAAAGTGTCAATAAACTATATGAACATTAAATGTTTGAATTAAGTTATGAGTATTTAAGTACCAATTTCAAAGTGATTCGTAAAGACACTAGTTACAACTGTGAATATTCAATATTTTAATGCATTATATTAGTTTATTTATTTATTTAAACACGTAAATATTGGTACAAATGGGCATCGAATACATATGCGTCACACAAGTCAATTGATTTGTGTGTGGGTTGTAATACTGTTTGGGTGCCCAGAATGAAGCAGGTGGTTTCCTTAGGAGCCATAGCCCTTGCCTTTGACCTAAAGGTTTGATCCACAAAGGCAGTGGAGCAACGTCAGGAGATGCAATCCCATGGTAACCTGTGACTAACAATTGGTTCATACGCCATTTGTTCCCTCAGGTTCTTGGAACTAATCATGGTTTTCCAACTCCTCTACGTGAACTCTGTGTCCATTAAACCAGTTAAATAACCAGACATTCGCTTTTCGCCCTTTCAATTTCGTAAACAACATCCCTGCCAAGAGAAGGCAGTGAGTAGGACTTCCCTATCAGTGGTCATATGAACGTAGCCATTTGAAAGCATTTCAAGAGGGAGCACAAACTCTCTCCACCCTCGGTTGTACCATGGTATTTATGAGCGCATTGTATTAGAATCAGATTTTAATATTCATTTGGAATATGGATATAAGTTGTGATTATATTTTTCTAAACTTAATGTATTCCGTTATGATTTTAATTGTTTCTTTAAGAAAATAACTATTTTGTAAATATATACAAAATGTTTTGTAAATCATCATAAAGCTTTAAAGAAAATTAACTTGAATTTATATGAATTATTTTCAGGCTTTGGATTTGTTACTTTCGAATCAGAAGAATCAGCTGAAAAAGTTTGTGAAATTCATTTTCACGATTTGCATAATAAAATGGTAAGTTTCAATGCATATATAAAATTCATTTTAGTTTGTTTTCTCTATTCGAATATATATAACTGTACTTATGCATTTTTAAATTCAAACTGTTTTGTATACTACCATTAACATTACACATAACAATTAATCAGGCAACATGAAAAAGAACAACAAATAATCCGGTGTGAGTATTCCGAATATCTCAGTAGCAACGTCTCACACGGTGAAGCTGGGTGATGTGAATTTGAAATTATTAGGAAACATCAGTTCCTTCAAAATTACAGGCACGTCGTACTAGAAAGTGGTAACTAGTACATAATCTAGGTCATACATGGTTGACTACTTTGACTACTTCAAATCATTCAAAATCTCACCTTCTTTCATAACATATCGAGATACGTAGATACTTCGCAACATAATTAGTAGAAATAGACCGACACTAAAAAACTAGATGAGCATAACGTTGATCACTAGTCAGAAAATAAAGCCTGAAAATTTTGATAATCATCAAGCCCCATCAGTTCATTGGTTTCCCTTCAAATGTTGATTTTGATAAGACCAACATTCTTCATTTCTTTACTTTGTCTGTTCATTTAAACCGAATTTTCCAAACTTGATTTCCTTTCAAATTTTGTCTTATTTTCTACTCTAGTATTCTTATCGGTAATTTTTTCTCATAGTGGTGATGTCAAGTGAACTAATCCAAAATGATACTTATTTGCGCCACATCTTGAACTTGATAACAATTAACTGTATCGATTCTATAAGGGGATTATTTTATTCTTCATTATTAATTTCTTTTAATCCACAATGTTATTGAACCTTTTTCGATAAAGTACTTGTATATTTTAACTCAGACTAAAAACTATACAGAAATCTCTTCAACTTATTGTATAACACTTTAGACAAGTATATCTGTGCTCACTTTATTTCAGTGAGCTGATTATTGTTTTAATGATTAGTCTATTTTCATGAGATACTGCTAAGCATAAATAAACAAATTAAACGTTATTTGCTTGAGCTTGAGGGTCTAAATGACCAATGCATGATAATTGCAAATGTGTAACCCAAATGAAAATCGATTATACTATTTTCATTTAGTAAATTTAAGAAATATTTTCTCTCATTTTTCAACTTTATCATCATTTTGATATAGTTCAAACGAAGAAAATGTTTTACTTTATTGAAAACTATTTTATCGATTAGAATTATACAACACAAACATTAGGGTATTATTATTTATATACCAGTAAGTTTATACATACAAACATATGTATACAAACAACATCAGAGTCAACATTTATATGTATATTCATTTGAAGAAGAAAAAAAACTTATTAGCAGTAATTCATTTGACTGACCCTAAAATCTAGACAGAAAAATGTTGACGTTTATTTAATCTAAGGACAAGCTTATGATAAAACTTAAAGACAGAATGAAAGGTATTATTGTTATATTATATTTTTTTCCACTATGAATGTATATATCATCCATCATCTCTTTATACAAGATATTTATTGTTTTTGATTTGTTTCTCGCATGTTTCCATTCGCCTTTTATTCCTTGTTTATCATGTTACTCATTTTCTTTATGCTTTTTCTTATTGTAAATATATTATTGTATTGTAAGTTTTACTTTACAGAAAAGTAGTAATGACTCTTTCGTTTCTTTTATGAAGAACATGATTTCAATATAGTGAAAATTCCCATTTTGACATTTGGTAAATAAAGAAGGAACGAATTGAGCGAAGAAATTTCTTTTCAATTTGTTTCAGCTGATTAAAAAGATATAGCTTGTGTAAATGATTAGATATTTGTAATTATTTGTTGTCTTAACTCATTACTTTGATGTATAGATATACTTTATTTGACTAACGATACTATGGTTAAGACCATTATCCAGTGATTCATCCAAGTCTGTTATCTAGTTTGGATTCGTAATTTGTAGTTAAAAGTAAGAAAAAAAACATATTGCTCTATGACATCTGAGAAACTGACTTGATTATTTATCATGCAGAAAAGTCATTTTTTTAAATTAATAAAGAAATGGATATTTATATCGCATGACATGTAAAGCGTTTGCAAGCAGTTAGCAGAAACCATTGAATTTAGGTATTATACTCATATGTAATGCTTATTCGTAATCTTTATAAACTTATATATAAGTCATAATGATAGTGAAATAAATGCTTATCTAATCAAACTATTCACATTTTTTTACAAAATCAATTTCAATTCATCCATTCATAATTACGCAAAGTTTATATTTTTGTTGCTTAGATACGATTGAATAAATATATTTCGGTTAAATATTCAAATGAGATGACCTTGACCGAAAATAAATTGCATTATGCCATATATGTTTTGTGAATTTCACACTTTTAATATTGAATTCGTATGTACTTCTTGAGCTTTTATACTTCAATACATTTTTAAGAATCTTTTTTGAAATAAATTTTACAGGATAAAATAAATTTATTTCATCTTTGTTTAAATCAAAGTTTGCCATTTTCTCGAAGTTAGTCAATCTATAAAAAAATGAAGTACTTTAAGTATAAAGGTTTACGATCATCGACTAATCACTCATTTTTAGAACGTAATCGTTCGAAATGATAAAGAGGATGAAAACTTTATTCAATGAAATCTAGATCGGATTAGTTACATTACTTTATATCATACAGACTTGTGTCATTTTAATAATTAGAAAGATGGCAACTTTTTGAAATCATCGTTTTATTCAGATGTTTTCACGATATCAGTTAGGATTAGATTAACCTAAAAGCCTGAAACCTAATTTTGCAGTTAATCAATATAACACACAGATGCGAATTTAATATTACTTTGCAACATAATGAAATTACTCCATATTTTTCTCAGTATAGTAATGCGTTCACGTTTGGAGCTTCAGTAGTCCACATTCTTAGGGTAACTAGTCTATACACTTATATTAATTCCTAACTGGTTATATGTCCTGTAGAATAACATTTTGCTTCTTAATTTGTCAGTAGTATTAACATTAATGACAGGTAAATAACATAAATAAACTACAATATATCTGACTTGTCCCCCATTAATTTCAACGATATGTTCTGGAATTTCATATAAATAAAAAGAATACACTAAAATTAGTCAATAATTTGTATAAGCGATTAATTAATAAAATCACATTTTGACTAAAGTTCAGGTTCAAATACCCGACTTTAATATATAATACTTGTATAAGGAATTGTGGTACTAACTAGCTGCTAAGACAGAAGAAGAAAGGATGAATGAAGGGTTTTACTGATTAATACATAGTTCTATTCATTTAGTTTAAATATACTCACACACACTGATTATCATTAGAATTAGTATTAAAATTAAATATATACTATTTAATTTATAGTTGAGATTTTACGTTGAAGTAACAATGGGAGTTTTTGAACCAATCTTAACTTACTTCTAGTATGTAATACTATTACAATTCATTTTCTGTTTCTATTGTCACCTTAAACAACTATTCATTTGTATTTCTTATCTATTTGCATAATTGACCGAAAAATGTATATGTTAAAAAACTGACGTTTAAATTTTGACGTCATCAGAAAGTGCTTAAAATTAACAGAAATATTTTATGAATACAAAGCGAAACTATGAAGTTGATGTTTATTATCATTTGTTATGAGTTCTCTTATTACGACTTAACTACTCTTATTGTTTAGTTTTCTTTCAAACTACTCCACTCGACAAGTACATAAATCAGAACACAGTTGAACAGGAACGTAATTGAATTATAATTAAACAAAATTAAATGAATGTAGGAATCACAATGAAAAAAAAGTTAGTATATGTATATTTTTTACAAAAGAAGATTGTAGAGTGTTCTCCAAGAATTCACTAGCACTAATTGGTTAAGAAATAGCTAATCAGTGTGCTCCAACACAATCCTGCACGGAGCAGACTCAAATTCAATATATATCTCTCTAACGATGATCACTAAATAATGTGAAGGAATCAATATTTTCAATTCTCTATAAAATAAGATATGAGTGACCATCACTCCTCTCAGATTCATGTTATGGTGAAATCATCTAACCCCTAATTAAAAGCTTTTAAATTTTCGCTTAATCAATCTTAAGTCATCAAACGATGTCTAACATTATTTCCTGAAGTAAACGACAAGCTCGATTGAGAAAAATTTGCAAAAGACACATTTTTAACGGACGAAAATAATATTTCATTATAATGGCATATACTTTGTTTGTGTTTAAACCTCCGCAAATATGTCTGCATGATAGTCGTTAAGTAGTAACTATTGCTGCATTGTAAAATATCTAACTCTGAACGTTTGATTTTTTTTGTTCCAAAATCTAAATTCACTTATGACTTTGTAACATTCCTGTATACAAACAAATCATCTGATATTAAAACATCTTCAATAAAAGCATGTCAAATAGGGAAATCTTAATTGCTATCATGTGAAAATAGGTATGACGAATAATTTTCATCATTAGTACGCATTAGTTAGATATGCTAATATTTAATGACACTAGTAGTATATTTATTATTCCATGAAATAAATTATATTAAAATCAACAGTTCAATGTGTTATGTTTACAAAGGTGATTTTTTTTTCAATTCATTGAATCCAAATATTTATTTACATGGTTTGTGAAAAGCGAATTCATTTAAACGATGATGTTTATCATATGCTGATGTTAGTTAGATAATAATTTCAAATCAGATGTACACTTAAAATATACATACATATCTCTCTAGTTTGAATCAGTTTTGTTAAATCATTCCTTATCAACCATATGCCTAAAAAAAATTACATTTTCAAGTTAATAAATAATAATTCAATAGTTCATGTATCTAATTTCAAATAATTTCCACAAGGATTGTACGAAATCATTCATTACTATTGTCATAAAGGAGAACACGAGTGGGGACAATCGAATCTATTTGAGCACAAAATTACAGAACATCTCACTAAAATCTGAGAGTCATACAATAAATAATTAATTTGAAAAATATCAATCAATTGTCTCAAACTTGACTGTTCCTTTTGCAAATCTCAGTCCATCTTCATAGATTTCATTGTTCATGCATTTTCATACAAATTGTTCTCCGTTATCGTTCTTCCCCCCTTGATCTTCCATTGAAAAATATTCTATATCTGACCATCGTAATATACTACTTATGTGGATACAAGTAGCTTACGCCATACTATCAGTGACAAACTGTAACATACCTGACACGTGTTTGATTCATGTATAACAATGTAATACTATCAATAATATATTAATTCCACTGAATTCCGAATTAACAAACTACAGAAATTTTTATATCTAAAAACTAATCCTTTTTATTGATAGCTAATAAACCTATGTAATTTTTATTAATGATATTTCGAGAAAAAAAGACCCGATTATGTATTGCCTATTAGTCAAATTCCTAAACGAAAATATTTCTTTCTTTCTTTTTCTACACAAAAACTCAATTTTGTATAGGTTGAAGCTAAAAAAGCCGTTCCAAAAGAAGTGATGAGTACAAATAACTCCTTGATTAAGCAACGACATCAGTTTATTCGTGCTCCAATTTGTAAGTTGTTACTTCTATCCTTACTATATTATTATTATTATATTTCATTCATCAGTATCGTACAATGACATAATAATAATAACTTTCAATTTGTTATAAAATTATTCAATTTCTTTCTGATATTTGATTGATCACTGATATTGATCGATGTCATGCGTGTCAAGTCGTTCTTAGCGCAGATCTAATCCTCTCGACCAAGTTGCAACGTAGTCACTAGCCTAGCTAACTCGACATTGTGTGCACTAAGTTGAGATAAGATGGTAGTTGGAGGTAGTCAACAGAAAACTCTGAACCTAGGTTTTGTGCTATTTGGCACTCGTCAGTAAGGTGTATCGGTAATCTTGAGGGAACTACAGCTCCTTCATCGATTCGGATTCGAATCCTATTAATCGAATTCAGTTTAGACATCCATTTTATATAAGTTGAGATCAATAAATGAATCTGCATTCAGCTATCCTAGTAAATAATCTAAAGAAAATATAACATAACAGAATATTTATTTTAAAATTTCGAGACAATTTTCATTAAATGTACAATAATCTTTAAATCTATACTACTAATGTGTTATACTTGTGAACATATTCAGTTTACAAGGTAAAATTAATTTTAAATTTACCTTCAGAACGAAAACAGTTCAGTTTTATCTTCTAAAATCAACCGATTTCTTTTCTAAGTTTTGATATATATATTTGAGAAATGATTTCATTGTATCCTATCAGGCTAATAAATACGTTATTTTCATATTCTAAAATTATTTTAGCACATTTTCTTCCTGCTCAGTTGAATGGAGCTGCAGCGGCGGCTGCAGCAGCAGCTGCTGCTTCATATACATTAACAGCAACATCACCGATTACAGCACGTCAACCAAGTGCCTATGCTTACTTACCTGGTTATTATCTATCTCCAGGTGAGTGTCCTTTATCACAACCCCTCTCAGTCTTCTTACCTCCAACTGCTATTCTTCCTCCATATGCTAATGTAATCTCCATGACCTAAAACTAATGTTATTAATATAGTCATAACTCAGTGAAAATGTAATATCTATCTTTTTAATGGGTATGCAAATATATATATATATATATATATATATATATATATATATTGGTGCACTTCTATCAAATTTGAAAAAGCAATGAACTCGTTTATTTTTGCTGTGTTTTATGCAAACTATTTCAAATAAAATATCTCGACATTATTCATTGCCCAAAATCGGAGTTAATGTTTCATTTTCGTTTATTGCATTGCATGTTTATCACTTGGTTTCTACAAATTCTATGCATCACATCAATTTTTTTCTTCTTCATTCATTATTCTTTCACATTCTTACTTAAGTCATATCTACTTTGTCCTTCCATTTTTCAACCAATGGTGTGTTTATTTGTTGTCTGTTATTCTATATAATTTGTGTTTCTATGTGTATTTGTATGTGCCTACATTCATGTGGTTCAAAATATTTTATTTCAAATCGTTACATTTAAAGACTTAAATTGTTATCACTTTTTTCTCTTTGAAATATATTTTTAAGAGTTAAAATGTTTCTGGGCCCCCAAATTTTTCTAATTTTCATTCTTTCTTTTTGTATTACATGTTTATTTAATTTTCCCTCTTATTATCAGTGCTCATTTACCTTCTGTTATTACTACTGTTAATTTTTATGCGATAATTTTGTGTAATAAAAAAAATATATGAAAGACAGCAGTTATTTTTATTTTTATTCATTATTTTTTTGTTGTTATGAACTAAAGCATGATTAATTAAACCCTTTGAATTATCCAATGCTTTCTCAATCTACCTGCACAAATATCAATATATATGTGTGTATTTTTCATATTGTATAGTACATAAATTACAAATGTAAATGGATTATTTGTTTAATTATGGTGTCCTTTTTCCTTCTCATCAAATTTAAAAGCTAACAATTGACAAGTTAATTGAATATATATATATATATATATATATATATATCACTTCTCCTGGAGTTATTTTGGTATGACTTTCTTCTTTGGGTTCTCATTTTATTCGTATTGATTAATTTGACTGTTTTTTTCTTTTCTTTGTGATTATTTTGTTAAAATGACAATCTAATGTAAAATGAAATTTTAACAAAACAATTAAACAATAATAATTAAATTATTCTGTATGATAATAATTGAAGATTTAAAAAGGGAAATAATGTATTGTTTTGCACATACTTTATGGTTATATCAAATCAATGTTTATTTTAATCATTCAAGTTTGACTATCCTTAAAAATACTAATAAATTAACAATGAAATGAAAACGATCCAATAAGTCACTTTAATATATTGCCTTCATAACAATATAAACATGAATAATGATACTGATATATGTAATAAAATGTAGTTGATATTTTTTTCAACAAAAAAAAGGAAAAAATTTCATTACATCACTTATTTCTACGTAATTCAGTTTCATTGGTTTATAAAAATCTCATTCCCCCATCCCTATTCATTTATGAATCTTCCATTATCCAATACATCTTTATAATGTATATTGCACAATCAAATGATAAATTACATGTAAACAAGCATATGACAATCTATTTAAACACAAAATTTAAAAAAACATTCAAGATTATATCTAAGAGAACTGACAAACAATAAGTAATAATTCTCTATTGTTTCACAATTATATATATATATATATTAATTATCTGTAATTATTATGCATAATTTTGTCATATAAATGCATAAAGAAATAATTATAGTATCTAACTGATTAAATAACCAATTGATAAGTATGATCAATCATTTGCTCAATCAAATTACTAAACAAATGAATAATATTCATAACTGAGTATTATTACTGTTTGTTTATATAAACATATACATATATTTATACACACAAATAAGCATGCCTTAATAATTCTTACTATAATTATCACTATACATTTACTTTCTTGAACAAGACAAACAAAACCCTGAAGTATTTGTATTTTCTCCTATGTTCCCCCCTTTTTTTTAAAAAAATACCCTACTCTTTTGAATTAACTGTATTTTGTGAATCCGTTTCTGTCTGTTTTGGAAAAAAATTCTGTGCACAGTAAAGACAATCAAAAAATAAATAAATAACTGTGACAACAACGACTATACTGATGATAACTATTATATAAATATATATTTATATATATTTAAACAGGATCAGAACAGAAAGAGAAAAAAGATTTTAAAAAATGTTAATTTATCTGTATGTTTTCCTTCTTGAAATGTTTTGTTTTATCATGTTTGTTCTCTTTTAAACAACAATAACAACAACAAAAAAAGAGTATTGAGTTGATTGTCTGATATTATTTGTATTTGAGGTTTTATTCGAATGAATGTTTATGATTTATTGTATTTATGTTATATCATCTAGCTGTGGTAGTTCGTCACTGTGTTTACATATATATATTTATATATTCACAAACATGTAAGATTAGCATGTCGCGTTGTTCGTAAAGGTTTGTCGTTTAGTTTGTGAGACTATTTCGTGATGCATGAGATCTCCGATTGGGCTGAACAATTAACTTCATTATTGATGAAGCTTGATCATTTAAACGTATAGAATGAAACGGTGAAATTAGGCTAATTAAAGTGTGTGGTCGCACTACGAAATTGGAAAACCTTTAATCTTTATCGTCTGATTTCTAAGAAGATAATATAGTTTGAAGGTGATTTGTAACAAGTAACTTCAATGTAAAATAATGACATACTAGATATACGATTGCATATTAATTCATGAATAAACAGATCATGGGTACTGAAAACAGTTTTGAGAAATCTATGATTTTAAATTTATTTGAATGAAAACTTTATTTTACCAGAACATTAGAAAAGTAGTATATTCTCGAAAAATACTATTGATTCACTATAAATTGTTAATCCTGAAAATTATGTGATTAATTATGTCCAATAAAAGAAGCCTTCTCAAGCATTCCCAAGTAAAATTATATAACAGCGTTCTTTTATGTAAAAAAGCTTCATGATATTTGAAATATTTAGGTAATTATTCTCTTTTTAATTCATGCACTGTCTATATATACATGTATATAAAGATATACAGGACCACAGATACTGATGTGTCCTTGTAAAAATTTGGAAAGTTGGTTAACAAATTAGTTATTTATATTGTATTTTCTTGTTATCAACTTATGCTTGTGAATTTATAAACTCAATTTACAATAGATAGTCAGCAATTGACATTAATCATCTTATGACTACTTGTAGAAATGGTTGATCTGTTGTGCAGTATGTAGATACCTTATATGTTTTTATTATTTTACTCCAAGTTTATTCGCTCCAGAAAACATCTGTTGTACTAATTAGTCCCAGAAAACAAGCAACCGGCTTCAATATATTGATATTGTATCGATATTTTCGGTAAAGAGGTGAATAGATAAAGTGAACAGTTTAATAATAAAAGAATTATTATTGAAAACCATCTATTAGTGGCTTAGATAAAGGAATACATATATTCGGTTTTTATATACAAAAAAAATTTCGAGTTCAGACTAATTTGAAATAAATCAAATGATCTTTACTAAAATTCCAACACCTTAACAAATGTATGAATTTAGTGATCTTAAAGTCAGGATTCTTAATTCTTTTATTATTCATACTTTTACCTATGAAATTAACGCATAGAATATTAACAGAAAGGGTTTTGTGGATAGTATAGTAATTTCAATGGTTAAGATCATGGGTCTCTTGAAGCTAGACCACCATTGAAAACCTGGAGGCACTGGACGGCCGTCTCGTCCTATTGTGGGGCTCCTCACTAGTGCTCATTCATGATCCCGCCCCCCAAGAGATTCAAACCCAGGACCTATCAGTCTCATGCGCGAGCGATTAACCACTAAACCTCTGAGCTGGCCGGCATCCAACGGTGTTAATAGAATATTGTTTCGCTTTATAAATAGATATAAATCACATGTAATGTGAACGCTGCAACTATTCAATTTTTGTGTCGATTTTGCTTTGGAACTGATATATATATATATATATATATATATATATATATATATATAGGTGAAAATTAGTTTTTTGGTATTTCGTTACATTAATAATTAAGTCAAAACTAAGATAGAACTGCTTGAATTTGAAAATATGTACGGATTGAAATATATTTTAGAACGACTATACTGTTAGTTCTTCTTATTTCATAATAAATTACAGTTATAAAGACTAATATGATGCTTTATAAGACATGTAGTTGGAATTTGTTTTACTCTTCTCGATGTTAAAACAAGAGATGACAATCCAGTAATTATAACCACAAAAAAATAATAAATTATATGTATCCGATTAGTCAAGTTTAATCAAGCTCGTAAATTATTTCATCAAGAACTAATGCGTTTATATTAATGTTGATGACAAAATAGAAGATAATTAGTCAAGGTTTTACCATTTAAAAATTTAACTGGGTGAAGTTTTTCTCTATGACCATTCAAGAATAAATTGATATGTAATTTAATCGAAGTAATAAAATATTCGATTGTGGAAAGCATTAACTGAAAAATATGTAAATAAATTAGGACAAAATTAATTTACAACCAGTAAACTTGTATGTATTTGATGTATTTGGTGAGATTAAAATTTATGGACAACATTTGAGTGACGTCAGATTGATCTTGAAAGTGTCCACTTAATAACCAAGACCAATTTAAAGTTATAAATCTGTATAAGGAATTAAAGTTATGATTTACAGTTGATGATCAATTTTAGAAATTAGATTTAAGGTTTTCATCACGAACTAACATCAACTATAATGCTAAAACTCTATATATCCGAATGAATAAGTGAATTTCGCGCCAAAATCCTAAACCTGTTATCTTATACGTGATTGGTTCGTCCATGTATTGTTTAAAAAGTATATAGACTAGTACTATAGTATTCTATTTACCTTTCTA